TCTGAAACATAATTAGTTTTTGTCAAAGAGTTTGAACAGCTTTGCTTGGTCATAAGATATTCCACGAGATCTGTAATTAATTATAGTATAATTTTGCGTGAGAGAGGTATGGTTTCTAGGATAATGCCTTAAAGCTTCAGATGCAATAGTCATAGCGTTTGATAAATTTATAGCTCCATATGTTACTACTATAGGCGCCGTTATCACCGATATGCCACCTCTTGATAGATTAAATCTCATCTCAGTTTAATATTATGCTTGGTTTAGATTTTATATTTTATTTAACTTTTCTTATAACTTCAAATTTAACTTTCAAACTGCGATGACTTCTCTCTTATTATATAAACTTTATATTAAATAATCAAACTGAGATAGTTTCCCATCACTTTGCTTCTCTGAACTTATAATATAACATTAATTAATTCTCAGGTGTACTATGAGCATTACTTTTAATAATTAATATTATTGAGCCAAAGCTGAACTTATTATTAATCATTGTTTATAATAAAACCATTATAATAACTCTTTATTAATAATTCTTTTAGTTGAGCAAAAGCTGTTGACAAAAGTCAAAACTCAGCCTTTTTATACATTTTGATGTTTCACTAAAACTATTGTAATACTAAATTATTGTGATACTATAAATTATTCTACAATGTTCTTCAATATTCTACAATGTTCTTGAATATTTGTATTACTATGAATTATATATTAAGTCACGTGCTAATTACATATTAATAAACTAAACTAAATTAAATTAAAACTAAACTAAACTATCTAAAATATAAACTATAATATCATTAACTTATATATTAACTAAATATCACTAATTAACATTAATCTACATATAATTTATTCCATATCTTCGGTTATACTGTTAGAATTGCCAAATTGAATTTACGGCATTACGAAATATGGATTTTACCATTTAAATATCTAACAAATCATCAAGATCAGCATTATAGATTTACAGATTACAAATTATCTTCAGCATAATAAAAAAATATTTACTTTCTTTATGTAATTTTTGTATATTTAGCATTAAATAATTATGGCATTACGACAATTTAATATATTACGGTATAAATTTTATATGCCGTAATTAATTTTGACGGTAAGTATAGTTACCATTGCAAATACAGTTCTTATATTTCGTAAATATCGAGAGAGTAAATTATACTTTTTTAGGAATGCATGGAAACATTTAATACCAAGTATACTGCAATCTTTTAACTGCCCAGTTAAAATTGCATCTTATATTCATTTAAGTAACTGTCTAACTCGCTTCTCATTTTTTTTCCATTGATCTAAATGCATGAGGAATATCTATCTGACTTCAATGTTTTACATAGCCAGTTACACTCCCATTCCAAATTCTTAAACTTTCAGTTTAATTTCAGCAGGACGGATACAAAGCATTATCATTATATCAGCAAGAGCTTGTAAATCAGGTTACTAGAAACATTATAGCTATTTAATCTTTCCTTAACTGATTCTAACGTAAAATGGTCCAGATAATTAATGCCCTCATTTTTGTGACATAAACACCCCTCTTTTTGGTTTTCATTAGCTAAATGGGTTGTGTTAGGATCTAACGTAAACACGTAGCAGAAATTATTTTTTCTGAAGCGTTATGTTTGTGTAATTCTTTTCAAAGTCTGGAGAGGCGTGATAAGGCAGAATTTTGAGGCTGATTCAACTAAGACCTTGCATTTTGCTTTTACTTCTATTTCACTAAGATTGGCCTAAACAATACACTAAGCTAACTTCCCAATAGTCTCTTCTTGTAAAACTCGACATACACTCCTGCATCAAAAGTTTAGGATTACCTTATTTTTAATAATATTTAATAAAATTTTGTTTCTAATTATATAATTTTTTTTAAAAAAAATTCTTTATATTGTAATATTTTTAAAAAAAATGCAAAATTACTATATTTTTATCTGTAAATTACATAATACAAGGTTTTTCTTTCTATGGTAAATTTTTAACTTTTCAACCAGAGTAGTTACAATAAAATAAATACAAAATTCTAATAGTTTGGCTAAAAATTAAGTTATATTTAAAATTTTATAAAGATTAGGTCGGTAGTTATTGAGAAATCAATTATTAAAGATTGGCAATTTATTATAAAATTTTAAAATGAATGATTTTCATATATAAATTGCCAATTTTTAATAATTAATTTCTTAATAACTACCGACCTAATCTTTATAAAATTTTAAATATAACTTAATTTTTAGCCAAACTATTAGAATTTTGTATTTATTTTATTGTAACTACTCTGGTTGAAAAGTTAAAAATTTACCATAGAAAGAAAAACCTTGTATTATGTAATTTACAGATAATAATATAGTAATTTTGCATTTTTTTTTAAAATATTACAATATAAAGAATTTTTTTTAAAAAAAAATTATATAATTAGAAACAAAATTTTATTAAATATTATTAAAAATAAGGTGGTCTTAAACTTTTAATGCGGGAGTGTATATTTACTGCACCTCCTTTCGATTTTACTTCTTGACCAGAGAAAGAGGTAGTAGGAGTATTAATACATGTAAAGCACGACAGTGCTGCAATTATAAGGTCACATTGTGTCAAGTAACTGTTTTATCAGACTTATGTAATAGGTATTTTTTATATAACCAACAATAATCACCAATTAGTAAATGCCTGATAAATGAAGTTAATCTGATTACATATGTATTAACTAAAGTATTCAGAAATTTACAGCATAATTTGTTTTATCCAAAATACAATGAAGAATATGAATATTTTTGTCATATCATCTAAACGAATACTTTATTATTTGGGGTATCAAGTAGAGGTATTGGGTGTATCATATGCAAATATGTATTTGTTACAATCTAATGTATATCAGATTTATTAAACACTTTCTAATAATAGTATTTTGTCTTGTATTTTACGTTATCTTAATTAAAAAGTAAAAAATAAATAAAGTAATTTTTTTTATGTAATATGTATAAAAGTGGGTACAAAATCTGAAAATTTTTGGGTAAATTTTTCCAAATTTTATCATTTTTTTTTCTTCCACATCATATATAATTGTTTGGGATCCTGTTTTAGCTGATTTCTCTTTCAGATAAATTTGCTGCCAAATTTGTTTCACAGTAAATCATCTTATTTCTTTATTTTTCTATTAGTTTCTCACAGAATTTTCCATTACTACTTTTAGATTCCCTTCACATATTAAAATTTCTGCTACATTAAAACAAATTTTTGCAACAAAAAATTTCTAAGAAATCACTTTAAATAAAATCATCCAAACTAAATTTCACTAACTAAATATCCATTTTCTTTTTATTTTTCTAAGTCTGATTATCACTTTTAATAAACATTTATTGAAGTAACATATCACTCCTCTGATACTTTTTAGATCACGGCTGACAGTAAGAAATAACTTTTTGGTCAAAAAATTTGAAAACTTTTAGCAAACTTCCATTCAAATTCATATTAAAATATTCATAAAAGATAGAATAAGTAGTTGGTAATGTTGGAATACAAAAATAAATATCTTCATAGATACTTTTGAACTTTTTTGCCATTTTTTTTATTTTAAAATTTTTGAACTGAATGATCAGTGAAAAAAGTTCCCTCTTCATAAAAATGAAATATAGTTTGTTAGAATCACCTTATTGAGATGATTCCAATGATATTAAATTGTTATTTTTAGTATTGATAAATAATAAGTTAATTATATTAAAAAATATTATTTATAAAGATGTAAGTTTATATCATTTATTAATGTTAGAAATGCAATTTTATTATTATTGGAATTATTTCAATAGTATCTTAATAAGGTAATTCTAATAAGCTATATTTCATTTTTTTATAATTATTAGATATCAAAAAATCAGATTTTTACACAATTTATTATCCATTAATACTAAAGATGTGATTTTACTATCATTTAAATTGTCTCAATAAAAGATTCCAACAAGTTATATTTTATTAGGATTCTGCTTACTATTAAAATATGTTACCAGTAGAAATTTTATTTTCATATGAAATTTTACCTTAGAATTTGCTTAAATTTTATTGATTAATTAACTAAAAAGAAAAAATTATAACAATATAATATAATATAAAATTTTTCTTTATAGTAGGATCTACAAAGAGTTTTATATGTAAACTTTACCTTAGGCTATAGGATAACCTATCTTAATAGTAGGTGGGATCCTGTTTCATTCTTTTGTAATTACTAGATAGCAAAATATTATATTTTTTATCTATTAAATTAGTTAAAATAGATGATTTTTATGACAAGATCTTTTTAAAATTACTGAAAATTTAGACTTTTAAAACTTATTAAAGTGTTATATGAGTTTTATAAACATTTTAGGTTAAAACATTATATTATATAAATACAATGTTACATTTGACCTGCATTTTTCAAATTTAGGCCGGAATTACGATTTTGGCTGGAATTAAGAAATTTTGGCCAGAATTATGATTTCGAAATCATTAATTCATTAATTTTAAGTTTGATTTTAAACTTTACAGATGTATTATATATTTGATGAGAATGCTGTAACTAAAATTTTATCATATTAATCATAATAAAAAAATAAACCTTTAATTTTGTTATACGCGCAGTGATTGATATCAAATCAGGAAATTTTCATCGGATTTTTAATTAGTACTGCGAATTATCCGGGAGTTTAACTGACCGTACAGTACAGTTTATCTATTTACCTAATTAATCGCGATCGCGTGATCGCGAAAATTTTCTCGGTGCCACTGGTGCGCCACATCATCGGCGCAACCTGGCACACATTTCATATTTTTAATCGCTATAATTTGGTGATTAGTCTTCTCTCTCCGTTATTGTCTTCTTTCTCTTTCTTTATCTTATTTTATTTATTTATTTTTTTTTCTTAAAAAACTTTCAAATAATTAAATTGAATAGACTATTTAAAAATTATTTTCCCGAAATAAATTAAGCTTGTTAACTTCTTATTCAGCGATTACTTGTTTTTCTTACAATTTGTTACAAATTTTGGTAATTATTTTGCTAAGAATTTTTTTAAAAAAAAGATAATTATTATAAACATCACCTTTCATCCTATGTCAAATATACAATGAATAGTTCGAAAAAGCTGAGCTTGCAAGAGGCTAAGGTAGAATATGATTTATTATTTTTCCTTAAATTCTTTCAATTTATTAATTTTCATCATATTTACGTAAATTTCTTTGATTAGCAATTACAGGATGATGAAATTGAAGCTTTAAAAGGCAAGTACGATAATATTAGACAAATTAAAAAAGTGAATATTTATTTATAATGATTACTTGTAAAAGGATACTATTTATAAACAATTTAGTTTTATAGCGATTTATATGGATGATTTTGAACCTGTTATAAATCAAAATGCTTGGAAGCAAGTAAGTTACGTGAGAAAGTTTAAAGATCTATGACTTATTTAGTAAAACTTTTTTTTATGATTTTTAGGTTGTCCCAACAGGTCATGAATTTAGACTTCATTTGTGGCCACATGAAGAAGAATTAAAAAAGCATGTAAAGGTTGATTTACATGTGAAGTACGTAATTTGTAATTTAAAAATAGTTTTTTTTATTTGCGATACATTTTATATTAAATAAATATATTTATAAATCAAGATTTCCAAAAACATATCCTCGTGTATCACCAGAAATTAAAATTGAAAATGTTCGAGGGCTTTCATCAGAACAATTAAAACAGCTTCAGGTTGAAGTTACTAGAAAAGTAAAAGCAAATGTCGGTCAGGAAGTAGTTTTTACTATTGCAGGATTTGTGCAAGAGTTTATTACAGCAAATAATAATGGAATTCCGAATGTGGTTATACAACCGTCTTTTCATGAGCAAATGCTGAGCAGAAATGAACAGATGTCAAAGGTTCGAAATTTATGCTATTTAGAATTCATAAAATTTTTGGATCAAATTTATTAAAATATTTATTTTAGATTCAACAAGAAAAAGAAATAGAAAAAATTAATAAAGCTAAACAAATAAAGGAGCAAGAAGACTTGAATTTATTACAAAAAATTGAACAAGAAAAACAGAGGCAAAAAGAGAAAATGGAAGTCGAAAGACAAAAGAGAAAACTATTAACTCGAGAATTGAAGTGCAATGATCATAATTCAATGCAATTTACAACTATTGATTTTGATTCGCTGATAATGTTGGATCCTGACGATTCACAAGTAATTATTCTTAAAAATTATTAAAACTTTTTTCAAATGTTTTAATTAATCCATCTTATAATTATAGTGTGTACCATTTAAATCCGTAATGCTTGGCCCATCTATTGGCAAGGGTAAGTACAAAAAAGATAAAGAGGAAGTTTATTTTATTTATTAATAAGAAATTTGATTTAATTTAATTTAGGTCCAATTGGTACGACATATATAGTTCAAGCTACAAATTTTCAAATTAAAGAATCATCAACTCCTTTGAGGCATATATTAGCTCTTAAAGATATTGAAATAACCAATCCACATTATTTAGAACTTGATGGCAAGAGAAAGGTAAGTCGAACATTTTATTTCTTACGCAGATTATGATTATAATTGTTTTTTTCTAATTATCATATTGATAAAAATAGCTTGAGGAAATAGAACAAGATCTTATTAGACTGAAAAATCTCTGTCACCCGAACACTGTTATTATTTATGAATCAGAACTCAAAAGATGTTTGACCGGATGGAATTTATATATTCTTATGGAATATGCAATGGGTGGAACTCTCGTTGATTTATTGAAAAAATGCGGTGTTGTGAGATTATCATTAGCAAAAGAATATATGAGACAATTATTAACAGCTTTGGAGTATATACATAACAATAATTTTGTGCATAAAGGTAATTGATAGTGGGATAATAGTAAATGTTAGAGTAGCTGGTAGTCCTTTGGCAAAGATGGACAATACCATTTGGATACTAGTATTGCAGCGCCTCTAGTGTTTACACGGTATTGTCCTGCAGTGCGAAATCAGTAAGTTAACAATTTAATTTAAATATATTTAGATATCAAGGCTTCAAATATATTGTTTATAGAAGTCCCTGGATCAGAAGATTTTATTGCCAAATTATCCGATATTAATTATCATAGGAAGTTACTGGGTATTGTATATGTGTTATTTAACGCAATCTCAATAAACCGAATATTAAGAGCGGATGATTAATGTATTATCGAACTAACCAATTTTTACGGCCATTATGTATTTAATTTATAAAAATGTTTAGATATGCACAAGAATTATCCATTTACTCAAAAATCATACCCGGAAGAAGTAAATAAATGGTTAATATTATAAATTTTTATAATTGAATTTATTATTAATTTTATCTAAGTTAATATATTTATAAATTTATATTTGCTTTAGGCTAGCTCCAGAACAAGAATCGAAACCAAACTTTTATTCTAGGTAATCGGTATAATCATTTTTTATTTGATCATAATAATTTCTTACCGTTTTTCTAATTATTTAGGAAAACTGACATTTGGTACATGGGAATAATTTTTGTACAAATGTTATTTGGATTAAAGACAACGCAATATTATGATTCATTGGATTTCCTCCTTGGGTCTTGTATGTTAATTTATAATAAAAATTTCTTATCAATACTATTAGCATAGTATTGAACGTTGATCTTATATTTATTTAGCCGAACTCGAAATACCAGATCCTGTAAAAAGCATTTTAAAAAGCATGCTTCAAATGTAAGCAAATTATTCGGTTTTTTTTATTTTATTATTTGCGATTAATAGATTGAATCTTAATTTAAATCTAGAGATCAAAGAAAAAGACCGACTCCATTAGAATTACTGAACAATTCTTTCTTTGACGAAGGAACAGCTTTTAGTAAAAATTCTGTTACAATGATAGATCCTTCTTTAAAATATATGATGTCACAAGGTTTGTTGTATGATTTGAATTTAAAAAAGCAAATTGGTATCTTAATTAATTCTTATTTTAATAGGTCAGCGGAGTTTATCAATTCCATTTCCACTTAATAATGGAAATCATAATGAAATAGTCGGTGGTTTTGGTGATAAGTTATCTCATAATGCTATGTCGCCGCCTACATCAACACGACATGTTTCGTTTTCAAGATATAAGTCCGACTTTGAAGAACTTGCTTTCCTTGGTAGAGGTACGTGTTAATATTTAACAAATCATTTATTATAAATTTTAAATACATACGTTTATATTTTTTAATTTTAGGCGGATTTGGTGAAGTTGTCAAGGCTAGGAATAAAATAGATGGAAGGTATGTTAAAGTACACAGTCATTCTTGATATAACGGATCAATCCATTACATTAATTAAATTTTCTAAAAATTCGCTATATCGATTATTGTCCGTTATATCTAGAATTAATGTGTATATTTAGTTTATGCACGGTAAGTATTTGTGAAGTATTAAAAATTTATTATTATTAGATATTATGCAATTAAGAAAGTGCTACTTAATCCAAATGATATTGAGAAAACGAAAAAAATTTTGAGAGAGGTTACAACGTTATCAAGGTTACATCATCAATATGTTGTAAGATATTATACAACATGGTTTGAAGGTAAATTTTTTTTTTTTGTGAATTTTATTCTTTGAAATTTGTGTTTATAGTTTTAAATGTTAAGTGAAAAATAATTTAAACAGATTCTGATAGCAGTTGGAATGATGCTGAGTCACTATTCAGTGAAGACATTACATTAGCAGGTGATGAAGAATCGCCATCTTCTAAAGTTAATGATGTAGACTATCAAGATTTAGATGATGATTTTGATTTAATGTTGGAGGCTTCCTCAAATCGTGGATATTCACAAATACATTTTGGCGAATCATTGTCATCTGATAGTGATGATGAATTCGAATTACAAAACGAAGATTCTCCAAAGGAAGTAGGAGGGTATGGTGCTAGAAATAGAACCCCTGGACCAGGAAAAAAGAATAATTCAAAAGGGGAGAAAACAAGAATTCTTTATATTCAAATGGAATATTGCGAAAATAAAACGCTTAGAGATATTATTGATACAGGAATGGAAGAAGAAGAAGGATGGAAGTAAGTTTGTGAATTAATTTTTTAATTTTATTAGTGTTTTATTTATTTAAATTTTATATTTTTAAAAAAAATTAGGATTTTTAGACAAATCGTTGAAGGACTTGGTATTTTGAGTTCTTTATTTTATGTTTATATGTTTAAAATATTAAACTAAATTTCTTGTTTAAAAAATGCCTTTGTTGTAGCTCATATTCATAGACAGGTACATAATAATTTGAATGCAATTAATTTATTATATCATTTTATATTAATTCGGATTTTTTTCTTGTTTTATTATCAGGGAACGGTAATTGATTATATAGCGTTTTTAAATTTCTTTTCCTTGACACCGATTATTAATCTATTTATTAACAAATAGATTCATCGTGATTTGAAACCTAGTAATATTTTCTTGGATGCTAATGGTGATGTCAAAGTATGTTTTAGTCTAAATTTGTTTATTTATGATCATAATGTCTTATTCATCTTTTAAAAAAAATGTGAATAAGATTGGAGACTTTGGATTAGCAACAACAAACAATGCTATATTTGACCCTGGTTCGTTTAGAAGTATTCAAATGGGCAACGAGGATTCTATGACTGGAGGCATGTAAATATTTATTATTTAATTTCTATTACTGTTTATCTTATTTTGTTTTTTCTAATATTGCCATTTTAATAATTAGGCATCGGTACAACTTTATATGTCGCCCCAGAAGTTGCTAGTAACGTTACTAACGTGGTCAATGGCACGCGTTATAATCAAAAAGGTATTTAATGGTTGAGAATTTCAACATTGTTAATTTATTGTACGTCATATTGATATCTTTATCCGTTTCATTTAGTTGACATATATTCCTTGGGTAAGCGCCTGATCTGAAACCCATCTAGATATTTTATTTTGTTGTTACTGAGTTTCATTTTTATTTAGGGATAATATTTTTCGAGATATGTTATAAATTTTCTACGGAAATGGAACGTCGCGTGGTAAGAACATAAAATTGTACGGTAATTTAATTATATTAATCATCAGTACGATATTAATCAATGTTAAATAAAAAATCTATTATTTATCAAAGACAATAATGAATTTACGAAAACCTGAGATAGACTTTCCGACTGAATTTATAACCACCAAAAATAAAAATAAAATGGGGTTGATTAGATTATGTTTACAACATAATGCTAAAAATCGTCCTACAGCTTTAGAAATACTGAAGAGTGAATTATTGCCAGCAAATATTGAGGACGAACATTTGCAAAATTTTCTTAGAGAATTAGGTTTGTATTATTTTAATTATAATAATTTTTTTTTTTTTTTAGGGAAAAAAAATTTGATAATGTGTACACCAAACATATTTAATATATTTTAACAAATTAGCGAAACCAAATACACCGTACTATCGGAAGTTGATGTCAAATTTATTTACTCAATCGTCCGATATATCGAAAGATTATACATACGATATAAATTCGGTAGGTAAAATGAAACTCCCACTTCAATATTTTTTATTAGATATTTAACATCCGTCTTTCTTTAATAGGGAAATAACTTTGATCAACTAAGTACATTATTAACATATATTAGAGTTCGAGATCATATGATAAAAACATTTCGACATCACGGTGCTATAGAGTTGAATACACCGTTGTTAATGCCAAAATACAATCTTTACGAGGAAGATAAGAAAGCTGTTTATTTGATTGATGCTGATGGTGGTCTTGTACAGGTAATATACATATTTTTTTTTAGAAAGAAAAAGAACAAGTATTATTGAAATTTATATTTAAAACTGCTAATTAATTTCACTTTTAGTTACCTTATGATTTAACTGTTCCATTTGCGAGATACGTTTCTAGAAACATAACAGACTTAAAGAGATACACATTTGATCGTGTTTACAGGTAATTAATCATGTCTTGTTTTAAAAGACTAAACTCAAACTAAAGCGTAATATATATTTAGAGAGAATATTGTTGGATGCCAACCACGTATAATCGACGAAGTTGACTTTGATATAGTTCATAGTTATCCTGCACCCATGGTTGCCGAAGCAGAGATAATAAAGATCGTAGATGAAATTCTTCTGGAATTCCCTCCAATTAAATCAATAAATTATGTATTTTACGTGAATCATGCAAATATATTGCAAATAATATTTGATTGTTGTAGAATTCCCGAGGATTTAAGTAGAGGAGTTTGTGGTCTTCTTGGACAATTAGATAAGAAATACACCTTTTCACAGATTAAGGCTCAATTAATGAATAAATATAAATTATCCAAAATGATGCTGGATGAGTTGGCATTATTTGATATTAAAGGTATTTTCATAAGATTTCTAAAGATAATTTATATTTCTACATAATATATACTCCTTTATTTTTTTTAGGTGATTTGGAATTTGTAACAAGTTCTCTTGAGAAATTAATACCATCACCTTCCATGAAATTGCAAATGAGAGAAGTTTTTAAAGGTTTTAAACTGCTATTGGATTACACAAAATCTCTTGGTGTTAATCATGAAATAATTTTTGTTCCATTATTAGTGTTAGTGTTCTTTATGATAATTTTTTTCTACAAATAATTTTAGTTTTTTACATATTTGTCTTTATCTTCTTTAGGTATAATTGGCATTATTATAAAAATGGAATAATATTTCAAGTTGTAAATGATAATAACCGTAAAGATGTTTTAGCAGGAGGAGGAAGATATGATTGGTTAATACAACAATTTCGAAATCCTACCATTGTAAGCGGGAAAGGAAGGGCCAAACAAATTTACGGAATTGGCGTTAGTATTGCTATGCAAAAAATTGTTTTTGCGTTGGAAAATTATCAAAAAGCAATATTACATTCAAAGAAAGTTGAGGAGGAAAAGAACCTAGGCTTTTGGGCCCCTAGAAGGGTGTGTGAAAGAAAAGATATGTTAGCTTATTTTTTTAATTCTTTTATTATTAATATGTTTTGTGTCTCTCTAGTGTGATGTGTATGTAGCAAGTTTTGGAAAAGTATTATTACAAGAAAGATTAGACCTTGTAAGAGAGTTATGGGCTCATAATATCAAAGCAGATTTTATGTATGAAGAGCAAACAGATCTTACACCTGAAATTTTGACAACTAAATGTAAAAATCAAGGAATTAATTGGATAGTTATAATGAAATATAAAATTCAAGATACAACAAGCGCTTCAAGAGATGCTTTAATGACTGTAAAGATAAAAAATTTAATTAAAAAAACCGAAGAAGAAGGTGATTTATGAGGTTCCTTTGGAATTGTTTAATCTTATACTTTTTTTTATGCTTATCTAGATTTTTTTTTAATTATTAGTCCTTCGGAGTGAAATATGTATGAAATTGAGTTCCGAGACGATGAGAGCAGATTTAATTGCACAGACCGATTATTGTTAGTTTTTCAATTAATTTATTTTATTTATTTTTTTTTAAAAAAAAAATTTTTTTTATTTGTTCTTTCCTAATCCATTATAATTTTATTTTATTTTTTTTTTTAGTATCAGCGCACGATTATACAAGTACAAGTCTTTCAACGTCACCGGAATCTTCAAGTCGTCTATCAATAAGTGTTGTTGTTCCTCCGACACAAAAGAATAACAAAAAAATGAAACATAAACAGAAAAAGTTGCTTATGGATAAAGGTAATATAAGATCAAATTTTTATATTACTATAGCGCATTTTAAATTTTATTCTCTTAAATTTTTTAGCACACGATAATATATCGGGCATCGTGGAACAGATTAAAGATAATAGTGTACCTGTTTTAGCTGTAGATTTAAGTAAAGAATTACTGAGGAAAATGTCTGATTGTAATGTATTAGAGGATGAGTCACTCAAGAATAAAAGTAAGTCTTTTTTTGTTCTACATTAATTATTTATAAATTTTTTGTAATTTTTATTTTAATTTGTTCCCAAAAGTACTGGATATTGCGCCACTTCATCAAAAAGAATATGTTCTTGAAGTTCAGGATATACTTAAAAAACAACGAAATCAAGGTCATAAACATGTCTGGTTGCACTCACATAGGGATGACTTTGGAATATTGTATCAATTTTTTAATTAATTTGTATAACAAAAGTTAAAAATTCCGTTAACTTAGATAGTAATTTCTGGGAATGAATATATGTACTTATGATTAAAAAAACTATTTATACTATTATTATTAAAATTAAGTTATTATATTTTCCAATTTTCTCGATAATCTATTTAATATGCAGTAGATTATTACAAAAACGATGGTTGTTCCTATAAAAGGACAGAAATCGCGTAATAATTGCACGTCCTTTAACAATAAAATGGGTTAAAAAAAAAAAAATTTCTTTTTCGCAAAAGGAAAAAATTTCGATATAGATTTTATTCTAGTCATGATTGACAATGAGCAATATATTCTTGTTCTCTTAAAAGAAAAACTAGAAAATCCATACAATAGACAACTCGCTGTAAAATTTACGCAAGAAGGCGTAAATTATTTTCTGGAAATAAATAAAGAAAATAAGCATCAACACTTTCTATGTTGTCCGAAATATATTAAAATCGTAGTTGAATTATTTCCTGCTTTAGTCGTTGAAGAAGAGAATTTCATCGTATTTCGAAATATTTTGAAAAATCATCTTTTGATATGTTTTGATTGTGTCGAAGCTTTTCATATTAATGCTAAAAAATTGTATCAACGGTAAATAAATATAAATAAGTAAATATACATAAAAGTATATATTAAATACATTTGTTCATTTATTTTTATTTTTGACTGATTTAAATTAACATTCATAATTTCTTTTTCTTTTAGTCATAAATCAATATACATAACGGATTTTGAAAATAACAATATAGATACATTCTTTGAAAATCTTGGAAAATGGCAAATAAATCGAATCATAGCGGCATTAAACAATATCGAAGAAAAAATTAAGACTGATGATTCTAACGAAATAAATTTGCCCGTGTTTTTTGAGTTACTTTTGAACTTCAAATGCCTGCAGAATAACAAAATTAATGAGCTCCTTATCATTGTTTTGTCAACTTTAAAACAACAAGGAAAGTTTGTTAAATTGACGAGTAGATGCATGCCCGGATTATTATTATGTGCTTTACATGAGAATCAAGAGGTTAGAAAATGGGCTTGGATATCATTTCAAACCATTAATCATGAGATAGGAGCTAAAGAATTCGAGGAATTTGAGTTTGATATTATCATAGACAATATTTTAAAGAAACTTGTGAGATTTGATGAAAAGCAAGACTTTAAATATCCTTTTACTAAAGATATTGTAGAATTCTGGAAGGGATTTAGAAGAATCCTTTCCCGTTTAGAAAATAAAATTTTATGTAGTCAATATTCTATCAAGCCAATTATATATACTTATTGGAAAAAATGTAATCGTAATCAAGAATCCTTATTGGCCGAATTATTAAAAGCTCTAAATATGCTTTTAGAGAAATTAAAAGAAGATTTCTGGACAAACTGTGAACAGTGGAAGGTTAAAATTCTTGACATATTCGAATCATCTAGTTTCCAGTATCTCACGAGGGTTCATTCAAAAAAAATGTTTTTGTTAACTTGGATTAAGTCTTACATGATTTCAGCTTTTTCTTCTAACAATTTTATAAATATATTAGAAAAGGTGTTGGATATTCTCGTGAAAGAATCTCAAAAATCGGATTGTGATAATGGGTATAGAATCCTTTGTTACGATACGATTTTGGAGATAATTATTCAAACTTTATCAATAAATAATAATTACATATATTATCAATTTTACCTTGATTACTCTTCAAAAAGCTCAAAGTTTAAAACAATCTTTGATAATATTATGAGAAATTTTTCACATGAGGATATTAAAAGGAATATGCAGAGTTTGGGAATGTCCGAAATGAAATCAGAATTACTTAATAAACTCAAGGAAGATCAGAAGAAAAGGTCCGCGAAATATTTAAAAAGACAAGTACGCGTAATTGAAGCTCCCTCAAATAAAGAAAAAAATCAATGGATGGTACGTTTTCAAAAACAGAAAGATGATGAAGCGCGTTTGATGCCAAATGTGAGCCTTTTCTACAAGAAGATATTATCTTTAAATTATACCGCAAGTAGCGAATTACCGCCAAAGTCTTGCTTAAGTAATTATAAATCGATTCCAAATACATTTTTATCAGTCGAACATTATGTGCAAATTTTTGAGCCGTTTCTTATTTTGGAATGTTGGCAGAATTTGGTAAATTCAAAAGAAAAAGCGAATAATGAAGATCAGATGGACATTTTTATAGAAAACGTTTGTATGATCGATGATTTTATTGAGGTTTCGTTCAATTGTGAACAGCACAATAGGGGTCACTTTCTGGAAAGTGATCTGTTTCATATTCAGTACGAAGCTTCAGAGCAAGAATCTTTACAATATAATATTCAAAATTTGGTTATAGTTAAAAATAATAAATTATTACTTTACTTGAATGATTTTTCTCATGATGTTCGACGTTTTTTATTTCGAGACAGTAAATGGAAGGCATATCGAATTATGAGGTTAGTGATAATAAATTCATTTTTTTTCTTTTTCTAAACCATTTTTCTAAAAAAGATTTTTTATTCCTTCTTTTTTATCTCGAAGTTTAACGTCAGTAACACGAGAATATGCAGCTTTAATTTCCATGTCGAAATTTTCACTAAAGAATCAAATTATTAACCCAAAAATTCCTATTACAACATCATCATCGTCTACTCAAAGACTCGAACATTACAAAAAGAATTTTCATGTTAATTATTTACAGGCAGAAATTATTGGGAAAATTCTAGACAACGATTGTGGTTTTTCATTAGTTAAAGGTCCACCAGGAACCGGAAAATCGGAAATGGTCGTTGGTTTAATTTCCGCTTTAAGAGAACATTCAGATGTTCAAGGAACGTGTCTCATTTGTGCGCCTAGTAATATAATTGTTAGTATACTGGTTAAGAAATTAAAGGCTGGAATATTTGATTCAGCAGGAAATCTTGTTAGAGTTAATATTGTATATTTGGGACTTTTAGGTTCTATCACAAATGATATGAGAGATGTGTCCTTAGATTTTTTAGCCGAAAAAATGATGTTGGAAGTAAGAGGAGGTTACGTAAAAGATTTTTCTTATTATAAAAGAAAAGTATTGGAAGGAGCACATATAATATGCTCCACATTGATTGAAAGTGGTCATGAAATATTGTCAACTTTAAATATTAATTTCAGCACGCTCATAATTGATAATGTGACTCAGGCAACCGAGCTAAGTTCGCTAATACCTTTAAAATATAATCCAAAGCGTGTTGTATTAATTGGAGATCCAAATCAGTCGTCACCAACAGTCTTATCAAAAATAGCAAAGCAATTTTCTTATGATCAAAGTTTATTTACTCGCATACAAAAAAATTGTCCATCATCAATTAATACACTAAAAATTCAATATAGAATGCATAAAGAAATAAGCAAATTTCCCAATCAATTTTTCTACGATTCACTTATTAAAAATGCCGATTATTTATTACAAAAGCGAAATCGACCATGGTATCGAAATCAATTCTTTTCGCCTTACAGATTTTTTAATGTCGAGAGAATAAGGAATGAAAAAAATAACTCCGAAGCAAAAATTATTTCTCAAGCATGTAAGAGATTAATTAAGGATTTTTCTCAAGTAAATGTAAGCAAAATTTTTAATTGAGATCAATTTTACTTGTTTGATTTAATTAATTTAATTCATTCAAAATGAAAAAGTTTGAAGGTCGAATTGGTATTATCATTCCGGATAAAGGTCAAAAAGTTGATTTTATAAAAGAACTTACGAATGATACATTTATTGAATTCGAAATCGATACACTGGTAAAACTTATTTTCTATTTGCAATATTATTTCTTTTTATATTATTTTATTTTTATTAATTGTATTATTTGTTATAAATTAAGGATGCATTTCAAGGTCAAGAGAAAGATATCATAATATTATCATGTTTTTGCGCTATCGAAGGTAAGTATCATAATTTTATACCTAATAAATAATACAGATATATTAATATTTAAATTCAATTTAACTTTTATAGAGAAAATTTCTGAATTTTTGAGAGATTCAAAAAGTTTGAATGTCGCTCTTACTCGTGCAAAAAGTTCTTTATGGATTTTTGGTTCAGCGAAAATTCTTGTGCAAAACGATGTCTGGAAAGCAGTAATTGAAGATGCTAAGGATCGTGGATGTTATACAGAGGTCAGTCTTAATATGATTTATTTATTAAACAATTTACATGAAAAAATGGACTTTAACCATTTAACTTTATTAGGCATTCAATAATATGTTTTCTGGGGTGGATAGTATAGCTGAAGATGACTCACTTATGTTAGAAGAGAATATAGAAAATGATAATGGACCAAATAACCGATCTATATCGTTACAATCGGGACTTCTAGTTCAATTTAACGATCCGATTCCACCAGAAGAATTTCCTTCACTTTCGCATTTTCGTTCACCTCATGTATATTATGAACGAAGGTCAGTCCATCAAAGGAGAAGTTTTTCCGGAAATCATCATCGAAGATATTCTCCAATTAAAGTTGATATTCGCGAACGTCTTTCGTTTAGTGGACATCGATATCATGATAAAAGAAGCGAATGTGACCCAAGTGATGAATGTTATTCGTTAGGACTATCACAATCATCAATAAGGGGGGATTATGATAATGATGAAAGAAATTTGAGATTACAAATAAGTGAAACTAATATAAATAATGATTATAGCGAAGATTATGAACATTATGATGATGAAATGGTTATTGAACGTTCATCATCACCCGAAGAGGACTCTAAACACAGAAAATTTAAAAACGAGAAAAAGACTCAAGTTTACCACGATTATGATAAAGATCGTAGTCCTCAAATTCATTTAGAATATTGTGATGGTCAAAAAAAATTATTATTGGAAAAGAAACGGTATACCGTTAGATGATCATAAGAATAGAGAATCTTATTTTCGGAGTTTGGGAATAAGGCAATATTAACATATGGAACATGAAAATATGGTTTACTCATAATACCTATTTTTACAGAAGGATCACTCACTACAGTAGATATTAAAATAGAAAGGGATCCAAATTAAGAAAAAGTAACAAAATTTTAGGAAATAACAAATTATTTCTCACAATTAGATTAAAGAATAGGAATGTGGTTATTTTGTAATGAGAATTATTGGCTAGGAATCCTTTTACACTACATGATAAATCAAAATAATAATAACTTTTCATTTTCTTTTAAGAAATCAAGAATAATGTCCAGGCATGAGTAGAAACGTAGAACACAAAAAAAAAAAAAAAAAAAAAAAATAGGTTAAAATCATGTTATTATAAATCATAATAACTGTTTCAGTTTATCCGTTTCAGAACAACCTTCAATAATTTTTATATCCCAAATTCTTGAATGATTTAATGGGTAATTTACTTTAAATTTGAAACTAGACATTTTTCGGTAAATTTCTTTTAACATTTAAACCATATACTATTGGGAATGATTCACGTAAACGGAATCAAAAATTATTAAATTATTTTAGATTATAATAAAGAAGGTAATTTTATCTGGAAGGATGACATTAAACATTTAGAAATTTTGAATTGCATCAAGAACTAGTTAGTATTGTAAGTGTGAAATTCGAGCATTCGTTAAAACCTGACAATGTTTATCAAGTGGCTTCCCAGAAATTACTACCGTGAACAATAGGCGTATATCCTTGTTTCGTTTCATTTTATTTTACTTTACTTTATTAACAATTAGAAGCTATCGTAATTAATATTCCTATTCCTTATCCGATTCGCCAAATAATTCAGCTAACCTATCACACCATTCTAATACGATACTTTCAAGTTTATTTATACTAGGTCTAACAGAAGGATCTTGAGCCCAACACATTTTAATCACTTCATTATATATACTAGGAGCATTATCACTCAATCTTGGTCTTTCTCCTTGACAAATATTAACAGTTAAAATCATATCATGTTGTTTGTCTTTAAATGGAAATTCACCTGTACTTAATTCACACATTACAATACCAACACTATAAATATCCGAAGCTTGAATGTATTCTTTACCTTTTAAAACCTCAGGTGCTAAGTAAGGTAGAATACCATAAATTCCTTCTTTTTCATTTTTATTTCCAATAGGAGCCACAGGTCTTGTTAGACCGGATGTTGGAAGATAAGCGATTAATAATTTCCCTTCATTATTTCTGGAAAGGAGAATGTTTTTACTGTGTATGTCTTTGTGCATAAAACCTTGTTCATGAATTGTTTTTAGATCACGGAGAAATGAGGAAAGAATCAATAGTTTTTTGTTCCAATTGAGAGATGAAAAATTGCTGTCAAGATAATCATGTAAATCCCCTTCTTCCGCATATTTAATTATGGAAATATAATTATTCAAGTGATCTTTGGTAATTCCATAAATTGGCAAGAATTTATCAGGAGATTTATTATAGCAAATATAATGATATTGGACCTGTTAATAATAATAAATAAATAACAGATAATAATAATTAATAATAATTTAGTTACTGCGCCATTAATGAATATCTAAAATCACATACCTGATTTAAAATCGAAGATAATTCCTTTTCCCAATCAATTATTTTAAGCACAACCATTAAAGGACCAACTCTTTTTTGTTTTTGTTTATCACCAATAATTGGACCATTAATCCATTTTGCGATACGAATATTTGAAATTCCCCCACTTGCAAGAGATTTTATATTTTCAAATTGTTCGTAAGGTATCCATTCAAAATTTTGTGAATTTGATAAATTTTCTTGTATTTTAATAATAAAATTATCAATAACTTCGTAACCTGAAGTCATTTTTAAAGGAAAAAGAAAAAATCATATATTTTATCTGTCAAGAAATTTTGAATTTTTTTTTTTCGGTATTTTTATATGAAAAAAAGTGATTTAGAAGAGATTTACGTGTCACACTCAAATTTTAAATCCATAATAAGACAAAATTTCATCGATCAAAACCATTTGCACAACCAATTTATGTAATATTTATTCTAAAAAGAGAAATGAAATTTCGATTTTAGGAACATTGTTTCAAAAAAGTTAATTCTTTATATAAAATAATGAATTTTTTATTATTATTAAAATACGGGAAAAATCAAATTAAGTATTATTCAAATACTATTCATTGTTTTCTTTCCATTAAAAAAAAAATATAATATAATCATTTAGCTAAATTCTTTAAAATTTTGATTTACTTTGATAAATAATGATCATGAAACACTTTTTTTTTTTTATGCTAATTATCTTAGCGCACATAAAATGACAAGTGAAATTTGTGAAACTGTTACATTACAAAAGCAGGTTATCGACAAATAAAGCTTCATTTTTTTTTTTTTTACAATTGATAATCCAGATAACGAATTTTTTTT